ATAATGAAAGTAACCATAATTTGTGGTCAGCCATTTGTGTTGTTTTGTTTAATGTTTTCTTTTCCTTTCTTTTAATACTAAAACAGTCATAGGTAATCATTATGATTATTTTAGAACATAAGAATGGCCATACTGCATCAGACCAATGGTGCATCTATCCCAGTATCCTGTCTTCCGACAGTGGCCAATGCCAGGTGCTTTAGAGGGAATGAACAGAACAGGCAATCATCAAGTGATCCATCCCCTGTCACTCCCAGCTTCTGGCACTCAGAGGCTAGGGACAACCAGAGCATGGGATTGCATCCCTGACAATCTCGGCTAATAGCCACTGAGGGACCTATGCTCCATTAATTTAACTAGTTCTTTTTTGAACCCCATTATGGTTTTGGCCTTTGCATAGTCTTAGTTGTGGTGTCCCTCGGGTATGTAAAAAGAACTTCTGTGACTAAGTGGTGGGAGCCACTTTGACAGAAAGAGAGACACTTACTAAGAGCTGGCCTACCATTTCTTTTTTCTCTAAACTAAATATTTTTAGTAATGTTTAAAATAAAATTACTTGTTGTCCAGCAATTTCACACTATCCCTTTAAACCCCACACTTTTCATTTTCCTTAGTATTTCTGTTCCCTGTTGTTTTCACCTCTCGCTCTTTCCCGCCAACTCTGCCAGTCTCAGAGACACCACCACCATAAACTCGGAGTTATCATATGTAAGACACAGGAGGTAACTGTTCTGTGCTAGTCTGCACTGGAGGGCTTCAGCTGGAGTTCTGTGTCCAATTCTGGGCACCACACTTTAGGAAAGATGTGGACAAATTGGGGAAAGTCCAGAGGAGAGGAACAAAAGTGATAAAAGGTTTAAAAAACCTGACCTATGAGGAAAGGTTCAAAACCTGGGCATGTTTAGTCTTGAGAAAAGACGACTGAGTGGGGACCAGATAACAGTCTTCAAATATGTTAAAGGCTGGTATAAAGAGTGCAGGGATCAACTGTTGTCCACGTCCAAGAACTAATAGGCTTGATCCGCAGCAAGGGAGATTTAGGAAAAAATTTCCAACTATAAGGGTAGTTAAGCTTGTAAAGGAGGCTGTGGAATCCCCATCACTGGAAGTATTTAAGAACAGGTTGGACAAACACCTGTTAGGATGGTCTAGGTTCACTTGGTCCTGCCTAGGATTACTTGGACTTGATGATTTCTCAAAGTCCCTTGCAGCCCTATGTTTCTATGATTATATGATAAACACAACTTCTTCTTACTCAATTTATTTTCTACATTTAATGTGTATTTCTTTAACTTATTTTTAGTTGGTAGCTGACACAGTACTATTGCTATCAAAGTTTAAGATCAATGAAAGCAAGTAAGTTTAACTTGTACATTCTCTATTATTTATATATTTCAGTAATTTGTTCTTTATATTTGCTAACAATCTGTAATTAAAATGAGAGAGCTGCTGACATTTCATAGGAGACTTTGCAAAACAGTTTGGACATGATTGTTAACTTCAAAGTGTGCATGCATTTGTGGCAAACTTGTGTGAGTGCACCTGGAAAATCAGGGATATACATACTCTCTTGCCATGATGTGAACATAAGTGGGCACGTAAATGGGCAATATGCAGATTTACATGGATTTCTGGGATCAAAATTAAGCCCATTGTTTCAAAACAATGAATCTTGCATATACTACATTATCTGTGGTTCTTCCTTACTGCATTGTATTACTAAAGACTCTCCGTTCATTGTGACATCATAATCATTCCCACAAGTGTGCTGTCACAAATGGGAGCAGATGAACTCACTTATGAAACAAAGATCCTGTGTTTATTCAAATATCCTTGGACATAAGGAAGAAAGGAAAAGAACAACAGAAACCATAAGATATATCAGTTGAATTGTTTCTAAAGAGAAGGGTTTTCAAAGATTCCCCTGAAACACCGACCACTATTTAAAATCAGGCCTGTTCCTCTGATTTACTTAAAATGCAACAAAGCTTGCAAAATAGTGTGACTCATATTGCAAAAAGACAAACCTTCATGCACAACAAACAACTTTCAGAAAATATTAAGGTTTTGACACAAAGCAACAAAACCAAGGACATGAACAGCCAAGGGAAAATATAGCATGTTTCCCTAAAACTAAGCGAGTCAGAAGAATGGAAATGCACTTAGAAAGCTGTCAGTGTGGCATCACACCGAAACATGCCCACTGTGGAAAAGTGGAGGCCCCTTTAATGAAGACCAGAGAGAGAGCAAAGCCCCACTTATGTCCCTTGGACACACAGTCCAACCCTCTTCATCTTCAGCGTTCTGAAGGAAGGGAAAGGGACAGGTATAGTATCTTACACTAAGCTCCCAGCCCCCCACTTAAAATACAAGATCCCACAATATTAGAAGGATCAAGATCTTAAGTTCCAAACTGGCAAGCAGTAAAACCTGTACGTTTTTGAGGTGTTTCTGAGCATTCACCTAGTCAGGCTATAGCCTCCTTGGAGATGGATTAGTTCCAGGGGGAGATGCAGGGACTTTTACCCCTTTGAGACCCCAATCATTTCCTACTCATAAGGCCACAGCAGAGTTCCAAGTTTGGTATGAAAAAAAATCCCTCCATACAGTCTCTTTTAAATCTATTCTCATCCTCCTGCCTCTGTGTGGCCTGTGTGAAGGGGAAGCAGAATTAAATTCACTGCACTCAGGGAAAAACAGGGGCTTCTTTGTTCTCACTGGGGACAAGCAGCAGGCACAGCCATGGCTGCACTCTCCACTATACACTGGCCGGTATAATTGAGCAGCCATGTGGGGGCAGCAAGCTACCTGCCACAAAAGTGTGTAGTAATGGGTGCTTGGTCCTGGCCGCAGGAGCTCAAATAGGTGTTCTGCCTTCCTGAGGGCTCTCCTGAGGCAGTGCAGCTCCATGTTCCCCTTGGCTACAGGCTGTATCTCAATGGCACAATCTAACACTAAGAATTTTACACAGCCCTCATTACTGCAGGGTGCAAGAACATGTAGTAAAGATTTAGGGCCTGATACTTTATACATTAGAGCCAATGGCAAATTACCCAATGATTTCAGGGTTAACACGATTAAGAAAATAAAAAAATATGCAAGACAATGAGCATCATATGCTATAAAATACAAGAAAGGAATCATGTTTCTTGCTGATTTACATCCTTGAAACCCACTGTAATATAATGAGATTGCACTGGGGTCTGAACACTATAACTGAATGTAGTTGATACCAGTCAGCTCTGTGTTCTTGGGGAACCAGGGCGCAGTATCCAGCCTGTCTGACTCATGAAGGACACCCCCCACCAGCCTCTGCTTGAACCAAAACCAATCAGAGAAAAGACTTGCAGAGAGCAGTGAAGGGCGGTGGGAGACACACCTAGACCCCTCCGGACAAGGGTGATAGGATTAAGGCAACTCCTCTAGCCTCATCTTCATCGAAGATGGGACAGGGAGGCATCTCCATTAACATACAGAATGGAGAACAGAGATTCCAAGGCAAGAACTGCACTGAACTCTGGGACCAGAAAAGCAGGGAAGCACTGCATCATGCGGGATCTCTGCTCCAGATGTTAATGAAGCTACACCTGCACACACCCAGCTCAGCAGTTATCAGACCAATTCTAGTAATGAATACTTGATTGATATCCAAAATACTGAAGCATCTTAATTGCATTGTGAGCTCCCTCCAAGGAACATCGCCCAAAGCCAGGAATGATCAGCTCCCAGGTCTAGCCTGAACAAAACAACTTTAGTATTTTCCCTTGTTTACACATAAACAAATCTAGTGCTCTCCCTTGAACCACTGTTGTTTCTCTACAAAAACCCCTACCTATGTTCAAGTAAGTGTTCTGATGCATGGATCCAAACTCTGCATCAGTTCCACTGGGATTTCATCTTTTCCTGACTGATCGTGCTGGGGGCTCTGCCTGTCTCCAGCACTCAGGGCCCTGAGCTACCACCATCACCTGGGAACCCCGACCAGTACAAGCTTCATGGAGTGGTGAGATCCCCCTCTCTCTCTGTTTTCTTTTCCACCTCAGGTATAACTTTCTAACCCTGACTTGTTTGATCAGGTATAGTTTTCTATATATGACTTATAATGTAACTGCTATGTTTGTTTAGGCTCTCCTTGTGTGGTTATCACTATTATTCAATAAATAACTTTTATGGTTAAGCTGGTTGTTTCTCTTTCTCTCTCTCTCTGAGCTTTACTCTTTTGTGTTTTTAGCTTCCCCATTCACTCTGCAGCAACGCTTTTCCTACCTAAGCTAAAGATCCCTGTAGCGCCCAAAACTACTGCAGGATTTGCTCATCAAGTGGGTTACTACCAGTACAATTGTAACGTTAAAGTGGGGATAGGGATGTGCTGAACCTTGACATACAAGAGTGGCAGCTTGAAAGTGCTGCTTGATCCAGTCCGCTGAGTCCAGGGGCATATAAGGGTGGCAGACTGAAAGTGCTGTTCGACCCAGCCTGCTCAGGTTTACTCTATTCCGGTGTTGTGCTGCTTGATCTGGTCCACTCAGACTTGCTCTGTTAATACGTGTGTGTGTGTGTGTGTGTATGTGTGTGTGTGTGTTCATCTGGTTCAGGGGCTGGAGGAACCTTGGGAACCTAGGTCCTGGGGCTGGAGGAACCCAGCCTTTGGGAACCTAGGTCCTGCAGGATAGCTCCTTTGGGAAGGAACTTGGAGAAGGGAGAAGTAGAGCTCCGTATGAGAACAAGTGACACAAGCAGTACATTAATAGAATTACAGAACCCCCCCACCCAGAAGAGTTACCCTAATAAATGAGCGTACCCCAAAGTAACGAGCAAATCTGGTAACAAGTTGAGCAGGGTTGCAGGAAGAGGATGGCCCAAGATCTAAAGTTATATCATTCCATCTTTGTAAATAACTATGTCATTTGTAGCAACCAAAGCAGCATTTCAAATATATCCTTTGGCTAGAGCAGAATGTCATTATAATCTCAGTGCAGTATTGTATAGTGATGACTTACAAGGAATTCATCCGTTGCTCTGGGTAGAAAGCACACATATTCTGGGCTTTGTGGAGAAAGGAGAAGGTCACCACTTTTGCCCTTTGAGCCATAAATCACAAGGGTTCTTTTACACTTCTGTGGCTCTGGGGAATCTCTGGCAGTTTTAACCTGCACTCTCCATTGTCGTGCTAAATAAAAGCAAAGAAAAAAAATCACATTTTTAACAGTGAGTGGGAATACACAGGGATTTGTTCATCATTATTACTACAAAGCATTTGAACAGTGTCATAAATTTACATGATGCTTTACAAACAATGGACAGCCACACACACTCTGCCTCAAAGAGATTACAGTCTAAATAAGAGATGACGTACACAGGACTGCAGTTGAGGAGTGGATATGTAAGGGGATATTAATAATGTGGACAAGGGAAAAGGAATCCTTGGCTAAGTGGTTACATTAATTATTTTATTGCTATAATAATAGTGTAATAATTTATAATAAATTGGTTGGTATAATTAATTGTATTTATTTATGTATTTATTTAAATATAATTGATTTAATTAATTCATTAATTTAATTTCTTAATGTATGTATGTATTTCACATGAAAATTATTTATCTATTTAGGAGATGGTAGATTATTTAAAATGGAAGACATTAACATAGGAGTCACATGAAACAACTGAATACTAGAACACAGAGCTGCTTGAATAGTACAAATTAAACCATGATTGATTTTTAAATATTTTTGTCAATAAGAATGGTCTACTCAGTTGACTATGATTTGAGGGATCAAATTATTCACTAGGGATCCAATTTAAAGCCCAAAAAATTCAGTGGGAGTTCTTTCATTTTGCTTCAACATGATTTGGATTGGGCCCTGTTAGAGTGTATTTGGACAGTTGCCAAGCATTAATGAAATTGTTTGCAAACCATGAATTCTAGCAAAAATATACCCGGAAATTGTATCAAAGTTATGAATTATTCTCCTGTTTAAAAAAGTTGCAGAAAACAGATCATGGAGCAAAAACAATACTGTGTGACTTAAATGGATGCTAGTGACCAAAAGAGTAGTTCCTACTGGCTGGATGGAATTTGCCCATGATTTCAAAATGACTGACCCTTGAGGGATCATGCTGATCGTAGGGGGCGAAGGAACCTAACTGAGATAGGAAATTAAGAATCTGTGCTTAGATTGTGATGTGTACTTCTATAGTGTTGTCATTTGCTGATGATTTTAATATAAAGGAAAACTATTTCATGATCATGTGTCTACCCACAATGCGTGAGGTCAAGAGAAATTTTAGAGGCATTTAATTCACTTATAAACCTGGATGTATTTTTTCCTGTTCTTAAGCTGCATTTTTTCCTGCCTATTTTTTTCCTCCATCTGTTTGTTCTAGTTTCCTTGGCTAATGCTTTTTTCCTGTTTTCTTCTTTGTTTTATGTAGCTTATCCTGTTCCAACCCCCACTCTGTAGAGAAGGCTTTCTGTGTCACAGCTGATTGTTCTGTGGCTCTTTTGGGTTCAGACACAGCACAGCAGGCAGACATGCAGCTCACAGTCAGTCTGGTGGGTGACAGGCTAGCTTTTGTCTTTTTAGGGTTATTTCCAGGAATGAGTCAGATGCAATATGTGACAGATACAAACCTTGTCTAACGAGGAACTTTATTTGTTAGATATGTATGGCCAGGCAGCTTCAGCCCTGCTGAGCATAGAGATGCAAATTGCAGCTCCCTGTGCCAGCCTGGCATGGTGTTGCCCTTTAGGAATTCATGCTGGCGAGGGAAGTCATTGCTGGAACTGTTGCTCTTTTGGGTATTCCACTGGTTTTTTCAGTTTCAACCAGGTCTTCGCACAGTAACCCCACAGGCAGAGGGGCTGAAGCAGGGCTACAATGAGTCAGATCATCCCTTAGTCACCCAGGCCACGCCCTATCTACAGTAAGCACCACTCTCTTTGAGGGCTGCACAGGCTGCCCCTAGAACCTAATGGAACGGAGATTGTGACCACCACCTTATATCACAGTGCCTCCCTGGTAGACTTTCCTCCACCTGGGCCCTGCTTTACTTGAGCAGAAGGTGGATAAGCCAGGTTGAATCTGTCCCAAGGCAAGAAGGCAGCTGTGCATATGTAACACCGACAGACACCAGTCATCAGTGGGCTGGATCGAACCTGGGACTTCTGGAGCTTAGTGCATGATCCTCTACAGCATGAGCTAAAAGCCAGCTAGCTGTTAGCTGAGGCTGTAAAGCAGACTCATTTTATCTCTCTCTCTAAGTGGTCTCGGTGCCACTAGATGGGACAGAGCACCACACTCAGGAGGTGTGTGGGTTACACATAGTTGCAGGCTTTCTGCTGCAGGATGCAGCGTGCTGAGCACATATTATGAGACCAGGAAGCGATTCTGAACACTGTGATTTATTTTAATTGTTGCCCATGGTTGTATCTTTTCTTAATTATTATTTCCAGAGAAAGGTTAATGTATCAGTGATCAAAGAGTTGGGAGTTTACCAGGAAATGAATCAGTGGTTAACAGATTTAAGGCCTCTTAGGCATCTGCGACTGCTTGTTCTCAAGCGTTTACTTTTCATTCCTTCCACAGTCTAGTGTCCTGGCCAAACCAACCTAATTGCATTTTCTCTCACTTTGGTAAATTCATTTCAATCTGCTCACTCCAGAGTCAGAAGAAATGTTTGTCTAACACTTTAGCTCCCTTGGACATTTGCTTATTAAAAAATGGCTACATTAGAAAAGGAACTAGTTGCAAACATCAATTGGTTGATGTATAATGCAATGGTGGTTGGGATGGTGGTTTTATATTCATATTTGGTTTTTGTCCAAATCTGGAAGTTCTCCCATCACTTCTTTCAGTCCTTATTCAGACAAAATCTGCCACTAAAATCTGTGGAAGCTCTGGGTGCTTAGCACCTCTGAAAATCAGGCCACTATTTAGGTGCTTCATTTTAGATAACCAGGATTGAAAATTTTGGCCTTTGTACCTACCTTGCATGGCCACATATAAAAAGATGCATTTACTTAATATATCATGTACCATTCACTGTGTTAATGTCAGTGGATTGTATTATCTGTATGTTATGTTTATTAGCTATGGCCCTTTTCTTTTGAAAAATCAGTCTGGGACTTGTTAAATGAATTAGGGAGAGGAAGTGGAAAGGCTGTTTTTCAACAAAGTATCAAAATTCTCTCTGTCTTCTAAAAAATCAATGTAACTAAGGCTTTCATCTTCATGTTAGCCCAGCAATGCTGGCAGTGCATAGGCACTTTGTTAACTCTAACAAATGAAGCCGAATCAGCCTTAATGACATCCTCCCAATGAACCTCTTTGACACTTTGATGCATAGAAGAAATGCTTGCTGCAAAAGTGGGAAAATCAAACCTGCAGTGACTTCTGCACAAAGAATCAAGAACATTTAAAACAGACACTATATTTTAAGAGTGAAAACTGTAAAATCAAAAGAAAATAATACAGGGGGCTACATCTTCTTCTTATATAAGCAATGTAGGTCGTTGTTGGTGTTTTGTAGATATTGCTCTATGATTTTCCAACATCAGTGCTGTATGTTCTCAGGACTGATAAGGACATACCACTTTCTTAGATGTAGCAGCTGCTTAAATTATTTTACTGAGGGAATGCACAGAGATCATGGAAATTTTCTGGTCTCTTAGCTTGCTTACTTTGCTTGTCTTTCAGTAGCTTGCTACAGAGTTTGCCAACCTGCTTGATTTGCTTCTTCAGTAACTTCAGAGTCCACCTGACAAAGGGCATTGTCGCTGCCGTTTATAAACAGGGCTGTCACAGGACACTATCAGCAGCAACCTGATCACTGGCATTGCTGTAGCCTGGAGAAGGCTGCAGGCCCACGTGGAGGCAATTGGTTGCGGGATGAACACTGAAAATCACTGGGCTAACAGTATAACTGGGAGGATATAAGTGGAAGGAACAGGAAGCAAGGGGGAGCCCAGAGGGTGAGCCTGGGCTGAGGAGTGACGGCTGTGGGGAAACCTCCCCATGCTCTAAGCCAGCATTACACTACGATACTTTGTAATGAATGAATGAATACATGGTGAAAGAGTAACAACCTGGTGTGTGTTCATGACTGAGACCACACATACTGGCCAGGCAGTGGAGTGCACCGGGTAGCAACAGAGGTGCCTGTGACATGGACTAATATTAACCTGCCAGGAGCCTGTAGACTACCTGTGATCATTTTTACCCCATCAGCAGAAATTTGAAGGAGGAGAAGGGACTAAATAAAATCTGAGGAATTTCTGGGGAGAAATTTTTCTGTGTTTTCTATTTGTTTTTATATATCTCTCTGCCCAATATCCTTGCATGACAATATCTGTTAGCTGACCTGCTTTCACTGCTGCTGAATCACACTCTGTGCAACACCCATAAACTCCTGCAATACCCCAGCGCACCTCATGAACCACACTGCAGGAGTCTAGCTCCTTTTAACTGACTACAACGTAAACAACACTGTGGTACACTATATCTTGCTTCTTCCCTTATTGTGCATTATTCTGAGACTCCACCTATCATGAGGCATGGGGGCGGGGAGGTGGGGGGAAAGAAAAAAAAAGAGATTCACCCTGATTCTCATTTGAGTGCTGAGAGCAATTATCCATCTTCTTTGCCAAGGCAAGTGTATTGGAACCCCTCTCTCTTACATCGAGCACCCAACATGCAATGAAGAGGGCATGAATAGATCTGCTGCCCTACTTGGTTTGAGAGAGTCTATCTATGATCTGAGGATGCTCCGGAGCTTGGTGTAGCTCTGCCTCCTGCAGGCAGAACCCTTGCCTTAGGTAGCTCGTGGATATCTGTGTTGTAGCCCATTTGCTGGTCTCTAGAATGAATACTTCATTTATAGAAAGTAGAGTGGCAGCTTGACTGAAAAGTGCTGAGATTCAACTAGTGCTCAGGAGACCTGCTTAACAATGGTGATCAGCTCAGTTTCAAATACCCCTATCTGAGGAGAAGGCAACGGGGAAGATGATGGCTGAGCAACATTAGCCATATCCAGATAGAAGGAGATTGTCTGGGTTTCAAGAGTGGCTTATTATCTCTCAACTGTTTTGATGTGGTGACCTTTGCTTTCAGACAGACCTCAGCACAGTACTCCATGCCTCTGTGACCTTGAGGCAAGGCTGGATTACTACAATGCCTTTTCCTGATGGCTTCTCCTGGAACTCACTTGCAGACTGCAATTACTGAAGAATGTGACATCTTCACTGCTCAAGGGCCTTCACTTGTGAGAATCAGTAACACCAGTGTTCTGCCATCTGCACTGGTTGTCTATTATTCTGTGAGTGTGTTTAGTATTTAAAGACTTAAATACAGTCTGTGAGAGGGTGTATACCTGTCATACTATGATCTGCAGTACCAATTGAGATCAGCAGAGTTGAAACTGCTGGGTGCAGATTTGAGAGGTCAGAACAAAGGTCTTCTCCATCAAGGGTCTGTGGCTCTGGGGAGTGTTCTCTACTTTGACATACACCCAGATACTGCACATGAGTGGATACCTATGGGTTGAGTTCAAGACCTCCTTCCTAACCCCTTTGTTCTGTTAACCTCAGTCTTGTCTCTCATATTATTCAACAGCTATATGGCATAGCTGATTAGACAACACAGGCTAAAATGTCACCAGTACTCAGATGACACACTGCTCTACATCTCCTTTACATCAAACAGTACCATCTCCTGGCTTTCTCCATGCCCAGCTGAAATCAACACTTGGATGAAGAACAGATGGCTAACGATGAATCAAGCAAGATGGAAGTGTTGCTGATAGGCCGAGGGAGGCTTTTCAAAAAACTTGCTTCCTCTTTAACACTCCCACTATTGAGAACATCTGCCCTCAGACTGACAAATCAGCTTTGGTGTCCTTTTGGACTCCTCAATGCTACCAAAGGCTCAGATAGACATGAGATGAAGAACACCTCACTACCTTATTGGCTGGCCAAAAGATTGTGCCACATCCCGTCAGACATAGACATAGTCATGATCCATGCATTCATGCTTGATTATTGCAATGGAATACATCTTGGAATGAAGTCACACAGCCTGGTAAAACTCAGACTAGTACAAAAAACAGTAGTCCATCTACTTAGCAACACAGGCTGCCATGAACACATCTCCCTGATGCTCCAATCTGAACTGAATGCTTATTGAATGCAGAGTCCACTTCAAGGTCTCTGGTGTGATAATCAAAGCTCTCCATGGGAATAACCCTAACTACCTGAGAAATTGCCTCTCCATCCATGAAAGCTCCATTCCACTGGAACAATGCAACTGTTGACCAATAGGGGAGACTTTGAGAGCAGGACACCAAACGTGCTGAAGTTGGACCTAGATTTAGCCTATGGGGCATATCCCACAAAAGATAAGTAACCACAAAATTCACCATTTTCAAAACTAAATGCAAAGCTCTGTTCTTTGACTTTATTTTCCCTCAGTAAGATTTTCAGATACAGACACCAACTCACCCACCACACTAACCCACAAATGTAAATCAAACACCTATGAACTCATCAACTTATTTCTCCTTAAAGCTGGCAAGGAAGAAAAAAGAGGTTATTTATAGTGTTAAATACTTGAGCTACTACAATGATAGGCACTATATCTGTGGATAGGTAAGTAGACAGACAGATTTCTAATATTAAGATTTCATTTACTCAGCCAATTTTATTCAACCAAATGAAGATACTGCGTTTAACTACACTGACCAATTTTATAGCTTAAGTCTAAATTATTTCTGGATACGCTTAGAAAAACTCTGCTGAACTCTGACCTGAAACTGTTTCCACTGTCACTTCACAATACATTTTTCAACTCACTGATGCTTGTTGGGGGAGCTGTCCCTGTGTATTAAATGACAGTGGCATTGGGTAAACAAACCAGTTCTTGAAATCTGTTCTCAAAGGAATTTCTGACTGATTTCAGGACTGAATAATAGAAATGGGAAGAAAACCAAAAATGGTTTGTGTATCTCCTTTGCTCAGTTCATTTGAAAAGACATGACACGTCACCTTTATAGATGACTATACTTTACTACTGCTTGATACTTTACATAAATGATTACTGTGTGAGGAAACTAATTTGCTTCATTTATTTGTTCACTTTATACTGAAACTGAGTTTAACTTCAATGTCAAAGTTCTGGGAGGAGAATATAGAGTATTTCTCACCTTTGGTGGATGCCTTCTGTGAATTACCATTTTCTAAAATAAACAAATAAAAAAGTTTTATACTTGTTTGCTGATAAAGCTACTTAAGATGTCTAAATTTATAATCACATTCACAAAGAATTTTCATATTCTCGGCCATAACTAGTCATTTGATATCTAGAATATTGTTAAAATGCAAATTCTCTTTACTGGAATACTTACTTTTAGCAATTAGCTCTCGCTCGGTCTTCCCATCATCCTGGTACTCATCTAACCATCTTTCATTGTAAAGAGATAATAATTAGACTCATGGCAGTTAGTAATTAATCTTTTTATGAGGAATCTCAGCATTATTTCCCCTCCTTTCACCAATGTTTTTTGTGCATCTCTTGTCAAGCTAAGTCTTGTAAACACTTACTGGGCCAAATTCTCTGCTGGTATGAATTTGGCACAGCTTCCCTCATTCAATGAAACTATGCCAACTTATACCACAGGCAATGGGATTACTCATGTTAGTTAGCACTACACCTGGTAGTTACAAGTAAGTATTGGCAGGTTCCTTAGATTCTAAGATCTACGAGGCTTCTAGAGATTCTATGGACTGGGCAGCTATGATGGTGAATTTCACCTCAATTTTGCCCTTCACTGTACATTACAGAATTTAAGGGCTTAACCCTAAACTTGACATGCTACAAAAATACCCCCACATACTTCGTCAACTGATCCCCCTATCTCATATTAGAATGTTTTACAGCCATTACATGAGTTCTCTTATTTTAAAATACTGGTAATCATTATAAGTTTCCAACTTATTAGCTCCCTTTTGCTGTATCCTAAACAACTGCAATTCATTCTACTCTCCATATACAAAGTAACTATGTGAATAAAACTCTTGTGTATGGAGAGAAGACTAGACTCCATTATGTTTAAACTATTGTTGCAATAAATACCTTGATTAACCTTTGTGAATTCTCTTCTAATCCCCTCCAAGAAACCAAAAGATCACTAACCATTTTTAAAAATAGACAGGAAACTTTGGTTCATTGGTAGCACTTACTGCAGGCAAAGAATTACGGAGCCCCTCTAGTTCTATAGATAATGTCTCTAACCTTTTTCTAGTGCTTAATAAGTTCTTTTTGACATGGCAGTTTTATAGCAAGTCCGCAGTCTTAGTCAAGTATTCCTCCCTTAGGAGGAATCTTATAAAATCTCTCTGACATTACAGAAACAATTGTCTACTCTTCAAATAACCAACTTTAATGTAAACCAAATTAATTAAATAGCCTAATAGATAAAAAAACTAATCATTACAATAATAGTTTTAGAGAAAAAAATAGTTATTCGCTAACAATTTGCAGGATTGTTGCAAATTGAATTTTTTTTTAAGCTAGAGGGGAATTTTCACTTAAAAACAGACAATGTTTCCTTTCTTAACTGAATTTCTAATTGATAATCAAGATTGTAAGACAACCCCCACCCTAAAAAATGATTGAGCTGACATGAACAACTATTTTGTAGCCAAATGTACATATACTCCAAGTATTTGGAAAGCCTGTACTACAATGCATAATCTGCTTGATTTTAAAATATGCTTCTCTGAATCATTTCTATAGTGTTAGATATAGATATCATACACACATGCACATATATTCATCTATAACTCTTTCTACTGCAAACCTATCTGAAGTTTATATGGTGGTTGCTTCAACATACAAATTGCTGAAGGCTAGGTTGTTGTCTAGGGTGGCAAAATATCTGGAGCAAAAGAATGTTTAGTGGCTCTGACTGGAGGCTGAGAGAGTTGGATATTTTTCAATTTTGCCTATGGCAGCAAAATTCTAGAGCCAGCATTGAGACAAGGAAATAGACCTTTGCTAAGTTAGCAAAACATTTTAACTATCCTCTAAGACAATATCAACTAACTTTTTTTTTGCATCTAGATATAAAGTTCTCTTCAAAGGTTTCCAATATATTAAATTCACTCTAATGACCTTTAGTGACTGGGAAATGCAAAATGAACTGGCCTAAGTCCATATGATTAGAAACTTTTAACGTAATATCTTTTAAGGAGCAGAGAATTGAAACTTTATTTAGTTTTATATGTTATGTATGTGCAAGGTAAAGGAAAAATTATTGCACCTTTTCACCCACAGAACATTTGGCTTTTGACCTTTTCCATCTTATTCCATGCCCTCCCATGCCGATCCAGCAGCCTTTTTTGCATGGCTTGGAGCAGTGAATTCTGTTCACCCCTTACTCCCTGGAAGACTGCTGGGCAGGATTCATATATTCAGGCTTTGTGCAGGCAGCAAAGTGGGTTTTTTTAAGTGTTTGGCTCCTGTCTTGCAATGTTTTCCTTAAGCTGCTCGCAGTATAACAAACTACAATTCTGATTTCCCATCAATGGCATACCTGTTACAGGGAAACACAGCTTCTTGATCATCATCTTCCTCTTTAAATTTGACAACCACCTTATCAAGGAACCATCCATTGCCTGGGTTGAAATGACAAAAGTTTACTTGCAAGTTTGTATTTTTGTGGAGAAAAAAAATATCTTGAAGAGAAAAGTTGAAACAACTGCTTTCCCAACAGCAGATCTCATTATGTCAAAACTCAGCTAAAGAAGTGAAAACATTAACCTAATACCCTCACAAGATTCCCATACTACTACTAAGGCACAATATTCCTAAGCATAGGCAAGAGACTATCTTGATTCCAGCAGAGTATTCTTTGTGTGGAGGCAGGAGTGTACTAGCATCTGTAAACTGCTACCACCACTCCCACTTCGACCTATGCTCTTCTATTCCTTTTGTTCAGGTTCACATATGGAGAAAACATTCTGCTTGTGCAATTTGCCATGATTCACTGAAAGAACCAGAATCCTTGGTCCTTTGGGAATGAAGTACATGACATTATGAATTCAGAGAAATTGGATTAATATATAACATCCTCATTCATGTGTGTTCTTACAATAACCTTATACAGTCTCTTAAAAATATAAGCTTTCAATCTTGAAAAGAGTTCAATAAAAATCATTTTAAATAAACCACCAAGGCAAAGTATGGTGTAAGAACCGAATTACTATTAGATTAACTAATTCTGACTGAAAAAAAATATATTGAACAGAAGGGGTTCTTCTATTGAGGTGAAAACTTCTTCACTAAGCCTTTCAAATTTGTGTTTTCTTCAAGCCTTGGTTTCAAGGGCACATTTTTGTTCAGCTTTTTCCTTCTATAAAGAGAGCAAAGCGCACTCTTAACTAAACTTATAAGTTATTGCCCAAGGTAATCACATAACTTACATTTATGTAACACTTAGATTGTGAAAGATCCAAGCCTTTAACAGATTAATCATATAGAGTTCACTTACCTATCACCAAACTACCATTCACCAATCACCATTCTCTGGGGCAGAACATAACAGCCATTCTTTACCAGCAATACTAAACAAGTGACTAGCAACTTTTGGGGCAAGACATACATAATAAGCACCACTTTAAAGAGAGGAATTAAGTTAGTCAACTGAAAACATAGGACAAATTTAGGTAGGCTGAATATAATTACGTAATTTAGAACTTGGCCATGATGCCCCAGTTAACACTAGCATTCTTGCAAAAAGGACAAAAGGAATGTTCAAGACCTTGTTTTCACATTTTATGCAAAAGATATTTTCCACAGGACAGTGGGCAGGGCACTGGTCCAGTACTGACTCAGAGGGAAGAATGCCACCTACTGAATCATCAGAACACCTCCAGGTGCACTGGGTTTTTTCTTAGGCAATGCCCATTCCAGCCAAGTATTAGGAGCAGAAGGAAATTATTAAATGATTTGAAGTAAATTAAATGATTTGAAGCCATCAGATTGTGCATAATGCAAGCTTAAGTAACTGTGCAAACTTATTATTGTTTGCAGCGCTGTTGTAGCCATGTTGGTCCCAGGATATTTGAGAGACAAGATGGGTTAAGTAATATCTTTTATTGGACCTGACAAAGAGCTCTATGTAGCTCAAAAGTTTGTCTCTTTCACCAACAGAAGTTGGTCTAATAAAAGATATTATTTCACTCACCTTGTCAAACTTATTATTATAACCCTTATCCTCCTCCCTGCCTTCCCTCCAATTGCTTGTTACATTTACCCGTTGTATCTGGTCCTTAATTAGATTGTAAGCTCTTTGGAGCAAGGACCATATGTCTGCATAGAGCCTAAAACAATGCAATCTGATCCTCAATTATGAGTATTGACTAGGTTTGACCCTGCTTAGCTTAGGAGATCCAATCTGATTCTAGTCTGCAAATACTTTACTGTAGCCCTTTCAAAATGTCAGCTCTTTTCTTTTACACTATGCCAGTGATTCTCAACTGTATTACAAATTGATACTGATCTCAGGGCCCTGCAGGAGGCTCTCCTCTTATCCGCGGATATGATCAAGGCTACTCTCATTTTGTTTGAGACCACACAGAGCATATATAATGCCATCCACAGGAACAATCCCACACTGCCCAGTACACATGAAGCAAATGGCCTAGTGCTGCCAGATTCTCTCTGCGTCCTCGTCACCGCCAGGATGTTGTTGTTATGGTTCTCCACTTGGTGGCAAAGTGGCAGTCAAATCAGTGCTCTAACTTTATTCCTGTACCGCATTTTCATTCACTGGCTATAGAAGAATCATTTTATCCAGCTCTGTATGAGTTACCCTTGTGAATTCTTCTGTGGTACTCCGTATGACAAATAAATAGCACTCTGTTATAAATCAGCTTGCAAACCAACAGCTAACTGATGTTATTTGATACTACATCCCAGTTGCCTTTTGCTGTCCATTACCATAGCTTTCTACAATCCCACCACTGTGACTAATCTGCAGGAATAAGTACTTGTGTCTCTTTTTTAGTCTTCTCACTGCAAGGCCTTTTGTAACACTTTGTATGAAGGATGTTATATATACAGATAAAGAGTATTGTGCTGTAAAACAGCTCACAAAACAAATTAGTCACTAGAAAATTAACTCCTACCTGGACCAGTTCTATCATGGCTAATCACAAGTTTCTTCAGGTCTCTTAGTGATACAGCCTTTATGAAGAAGATATCCACCTGCAGAATCATCAAAATGAGATTGATAAAGGCCATGATCATGTAGGTCCTTGCATGATGTTCAGGGGCATGGACAAGATTGTTGCTTCCAGATGTAGCTTAACACTTAGCCCTCTGTTCTGAGTGGTAGCAAGGAGGGTAAAAAAGGGGAACAGTTATGTTTTAGGACATCTGGTGTAAGCACGATTCTCACCATGTTAATGAGAGATTTAGCAATGAGTTCTCCTCTTGAGTCGTACACCTACGGCTGATGAACAGAGAAAGAGGATGCAAAGTAGTGTTCTCATTCATGCAGGATCATGTTTTGCTGAACTTCCTCTGCTGATGATTGCTTTTTATTTGGTGCCTATAGGTATGATGCTGCACATGTCCTAGGCAGGTTCAAGCACAAACTGCTTAAAGTAACATTAATATATAAAGGTGGTTGTTTACTGCAATCAGAGTTGTGATGGCAGATGTGTAGACATACCTGAGCTAGCATTGATTTAGCTAGCTTGAATTACAAGAGCCACAGCAGCAGCACAGATGGCAGCATGGGCTGTACAACTCCACCTGAGACCCTGGGTATGTTTTCAAGTGGCTAGCGTGTGCTGCTGCCTGTGCAGCCATATCTCCACTGCCATTGTTATTCAAGCTAGCTAGATCAAAGGGTACGTCTTCACTACCCGCCGGATCGGAGGGTAGTAATCAACCTATCGGGGATCGATTTATCGTGTCTCGTCTAGACGCTATAAATCGATCCCCGAACGCACTCCCCATTGACTCCGTAACTCCACCAGAGCGAAAGGCGGAAGCAGAGTCGACGGGGGAGCCACGGCCGTCGATCCCGCGCCATGAGGACGTGAGGTAAATCAATCTAAGATATGTCGACTTCAGCTACGCTATTCTCGTAGCTAAATTGTGTATCTTAGATCAATCCCCCCCCCCCAGTGTAGACCAGCCCAAAGCTAGCCTCGGTATGTCTACATGTGCTGTAGTCACACCTCTGATTGCAGTGTAGACATACCCTTAGCAGCACAGAACTGGCATGGCCAACTCTATACTACCTCCTCTAAGGCCTACCGTTTAGTGCAGGGGTCGGCAACCTATGGCACGCGTGCCAAAGACGGCACGTGAGCCAATTTTTAATGGCACGCTGGAGCCTGCCGGGACTCCAGCGTGCCATTAAAAAATCCTGCCCAGCCCGGCCCGCTCTCCTCTGCCCTCTGCTCCCCCAGTGGGGGCAGGGAGCAGAAGCATAGCCGTGCACACGGGGTGGGAAAATGACCCCACTCTCCCACGCCTTCTCCCCTCCCCTGGAGCTCTGCCGCCGCACGCGCCGCGCTCTGCGGGTAGGGGCTGCGCGCTCCCGCGGGGTAGTGTTTGGCTCCGCGGGGAGGGAAAGACGCTCCCCGCTCACCCGGAGCCCTGCCGCCGTGCGCACAGAGCTCTGGGGGCCGAGGATGTGCGCTCCCATGGGGCAGCTTATCAGGCTCTGCGTGGAGCCTCATAGTAAGGGGTCCGGGGCTGGGGGGGTTGGATAAGGGGTGGGCATGGGGGCAGTCAGGGGACAGGGTGGGTTGGATGGGGGGGTCTCTGGAGGGGGCAGTCAGGGAGCAGGGGGGGTTGGATGGGGCATGGGAGTCCCGGGGTCTGTCAGGGGGCGGGGGGTGGATAGGGGTCAGGGCAGTCAGGGGACAGGGAACAAGGAGGGTCCTGGGGGGGCAGTTAGGGTGGGGGGTCTCTGGAGGGGGTGGTCAAGGGACAAGGAGCTGGGGGGTTGGGAGTTCTTAGGGGGGCAGTCACCCAGCCCTCTCCCCTGAGCCCTGACCCCCCCACACACACACCCTGCCCTCTGCCCTGAGCCCCGCACACACCCCAGACCCCTGCCCTGAGCCCTGTACCTCCCTCATACACACCCAGCCCTCTGCTTGACTCCTTCATCCCACCCCCACAACCCTAGCCCTGACTCTGGCACCCCCACACATCCCCAGCCCCCCCTCTGCCCTGACACCTGCACCGCCCCACATCCCCAGCCCCCCCACACCTCATGCACCCGCCACATCCCCACCCCCACCCGGCGCACCAAACGGGAGCTCCTGCACCCTCCCCCCCACATTCCCATCTGCACCCCTGACATCAAATGGGAGCTGCCCAGGTAAGTGCCCCACAACTGAACCTCCTGTCCCAACCTAATCAGGGAACAGAAACACTACCGTAACGCTGTGATCTATGTGTCCAATCAAAACTAAACAGAGCATGAATTTTGAATATCCAATACTCACAGTAAACTATTCATTCAGAATCTACAGGCCAAAAATTATTAAATAAATTAATTCTGTGAACAATTTTGAATAAATATCTGAGAAAACTGAATTGCTCAAGGATAAATGTGTAAACAGAAAATATCTACATATGTTGAAAAAACTATTTGCTACAAATAATTTGCTAGCATTGATCAGTTTTGCACATTTTTTCCTTTACCTGTCCACGCTGAAACTTGACTTTATTATTCTTAGCTCTATGCAGCTTTCTCTTGCCAGAATCTCCTCTCGTTCCAATGAGGGTGGCATATACATTAGAATCTGTTTCAGCACCAAGTTTAGACCCAGTATATACATGGAGTTCATAAATCACCACTAAAAAAGGACAAAAATTTGCATTATTTTTCTTTCTAATGTATGTATATATGAACTTTTCCGTTTATAGCTGGCCAGAGGACGGCACACCTTCTGACCTGTTTGTAATTAGCCACACCAATCCATATATTCATCACTTCCAGGCTCAATCTGTAATACTCTGTACCTAAATATGAGACCACTGACATTAAAAAGCTACAGTTTGTTCTGAACAAAGCAGCCCAACTGCTCAAAAAACGGGCCATCAAGTGTGCATCCCCCAATGCTCTATTTTCTTCATTGTCTCCCTGCTGAGTACTAGGCCAAATACAAAGTTTCAGTCCTATTTTTCAAAGCCTTTTTGAGGATTGGCTTAAGTTACCTGGGGACTGTTTCACTCTGCATGATTATGACCTCAGACAAAGATCTATGTTCCACTGAAAACATGGGATGGTCATCAACAAGAGTGAAATTAGTGCATGAAAAACACAGAATTTCACCCCAAGAAAAGATCAGGATGATCATGAACCTCAGCACTTTCACAGCAAGTGCAAAACCCACTTCTTTGACTCAGCCTTCCCACAATAACATCACAAAAGTCCCAGCTGACCAGATAGGATAAGGAGAGAAAGAAATATATGTGACATGTATACTTCAATAATTTTGGGATTTGACCAAATATCATGATAATGCCACCTTATGAGAACTCGCACGTATATGCATATGCACATTGTCTGTACTAGGAAACCAGATTGACCATGACCAGCTAAAGGTGGTAAACTCTATTTACAGTAGGTGCTTTAGAGCTATTTTATTTAGATATTTTGAAGTGCAGTAATATTATCATAATTGTCCAAACAGTACTAAAACTTCTGTTTCACAATAATTATTTCTAGCAATTACATACTACTATATTCTGCTACACTTTTTCAGTTAGAGGTTTTTAATATTTTTTTTGCTCCTAATTATATCTTAGTGGAATTTATCCATGCAGTTTTTCTATTCTAATCACAGCTGGTCACTAGTGCTGCTATCTAGTAGACAATAGGAGAGATTATTGTTCCACTAATGGAGATTTTTAATAGCTCTCTGGAAAGAAGAAAAGTACTGGGGGATCACAGGAATACACATTTAAGCACAATCTTTAAGAAAGGGACAGAGGAGAAACCAGGAACATATAACAAACTACTTTGACCTTGGTATTAAACAATATACTATAAGCATTAATTAAAGATACTACTATTATTAAACTACTAGTCTTACTTCTAATAATAATGTGACATTTATATAGAACTTTTCATGAAAAAGGATCCCAAAACACGTACACACACACACACACACACACACACACAAATCACTTCACCCACCATGGAAGTGTAGCCCTTTCCAGGGTGGAATGTAGTGCTTCCTTAACAGTACAGAACACTGCAGAAGCATTTAGGACAGGAAGTTAAGAATACCAACATGTGTATTTGCAGCTGCAGAGGGAATTTAGATATTAGAATATGGCCATGACACTTAGAATAGCACCTGTAACTCTTGCAAAAAGTGCCATAGGATTTTTAATTACCTTGAACTGGAGTCTAAGCCAAACAACAGCATCTCCAAGTCCAACACTTGACCACCAAATAGGGTGTAGGATAAATGTGAAATTATAGAATTCGAGTTAGCTTAAGTTTGGCTAAGGAAATATGTGTGTGGTAAAGAAAGACCCTGACTAGCAAGTAGAAGAAAGGCCTTGAAAATAATAAAAGTCATAAGGCCAGAAGGAATGAAGCAGGGAGGATGCCTGGTTCAAAGAATAACTAACGAAATAAGGGAAGATTTCTAAATAGGAGACGTCTGACTGATAGAGGTGACTGCAGATGGTTTTAAATAAGACAAAGAGAATCTGTCTTAAAAGGAGCCAACATGGACCTTCCGACCCCACACAGTGTTAAAGCCTATGTGAATCCAGGTGCAATGGAAAAACTGTTGGGCAGAAAGTAGGAGGGGAGGAAAGGCCTTGGGAAGAAAAGAGGCTGTTAATCTTATCTGGATTAAAACTGGTAATAAGGGTAAACTGTCTCAGGTTAGTTTTTAGCTGAAATCAGTACTTGGCTGTGACATCACTTGTTTGCTGAGTAGAAAGAAGTTGACTCTTAAAAGGTTCATTGCCAATACCTCCCTGACCACATTGGAGCCAACCAATATGTGTCTGAGCACCCAGGGGTTTAGCCCATTTGATTAAATGTTTATCAATATTTTGTTACTGTTTGGATGTACTAAATTGCTTATTATTTAGGCTTTTTTAGGCATGTTTAGAGCAATTGTATAAGTACCTTTGGCCTTTGGATTTAATAAAGGAATGTATAATTAAATCAGTGTTTGTGGTTTCCCATATTAATATTAATAATTTCAAATATTATTAATAATTCCAACATAGGCATTAAAGAGTCCTGTGGCACCTTATAGACTAACAAATGTATTGGAGCATAAGCTTTCGTGGGTGAATACCCACTTTGTCAGACGCATGTAATGGAAAGCTTATGCTCCAATACATCTGTTAGTCTATAAGGTGCCACAGCACTCTTTGTTGCTTTTTACAGATCTAGACTAACACAGCTACCCCTCTGATACTTAACATAGGCATTGGTTCAGTGCTGGCTCAGAGGGAAGAGTGCCACCTCCTGAATCGCAATCACTACTTCCTGCAACATCATGGCTTTCCTTGGAGCTCTCCCATCATATTTACTAAGATGAAGCATACTTAGCAAATGAAATATAAGACCTCATCCCAACAAATACATAATTGAGAAATGTTCAGTTCTATTTCAAAATGATTTTAACATACCTCATAGTATATTAATATTAGTGTGTACAGATTAGCAATAATAAAATAGAAGACACTCCTCTTGAAATAATAGGGAACTGTTCAGATGACGGAGGGCAGAACGTAATGGTAGACCACTATACAGGGGGAAAAAGCAACTTGTAAAGAGCTACAGTGATCAGTATTGTATACAATACTTTTTGGGTCAAATTTCCAAAAGAGCATCTATGGATTAGATTCTGCCACTCTTACTTATATCGAGTAAGCAGATCTCCTGGACTATTTGTGGAGGAAGGTACTACATGTAGTTAGTTAGAGTGGTGGAATCCGGCCCAAAGACTGAACTTACAATTTTGCACCCTTACCATCCACACCCAAAACGTTGAAATTGCAAACCACTTGCAGGTGCTAACAAAAGGATGCAGACTTCTAACTACATAATTGTACCAGCAAATTAGGCAAACATCTATATTATTTGCACCTGCAAGTGATTTGCAGTCTTAAAATTGCAAAGGCAAATAACTGGCACACAGTTTTAGCAGCCTATTTGAAAAGTAAGCCCTTCAATAACAAATGACTCACAGGAACGAAGTACCAACAAGTTACTTTGGGGGTGACATCAAACTGAACGAGCAAATGCAGGATGTACAGGAAGAGAATTAGAAAGAATTGCAGTTTAGCACAGGAATATGAGCAGATCAATGGCTTATATATTAAATAAAATTGTAAAACCATGGGATCACCAGGGAGAATATAATAAGAGTTGAATGTAACTTTTCAATGGATACCTATCTGAATATTCCACTTAGGCCTGGTCTACACTAGGAGTTTATCTCGAATTTAGCAGCGTTAAACCGAATTAACCCTGCACCCGTCCACACAACGAAGCCCTTTACTTCGATATAAAGGGTTCTTAATATCGATATCTGTACTCCTCCCCGACGAGGGGAGTAGCACTGAAATCGGTATTGCCATTTCGAATTAGGGTTAGTGTGGCCGCAATTTGAAGGTATTGGCCTCTGGGAGCTATCCCACAGTGCACCATTGTGACTGCTCTGGACAGCAATCTGAACTCAGATGCACTGGCCAGGTAGACAGGAAAAGCCCCGCGAACTTTTGAATTTCATTTCCTGTTTGCCCAGCGTGGAGAGCACAGGTGACCACGCAGAGCTCATCAGCACAGGTAACCATGCAGTCCGAGAATCGAAAAAGAGCACCAGCATGGACCGTACGGGAGGTACTGGATCTGATCGCTATATGGGGAGAGGATTCAGTGCTAGCAGAACTACGTTCCAAAAGATGAAATGCCAAAACTTTTGAAAAAATTTCCAAGGGCATGATGGAGAGAGGCCACAATAGGGACTCACTACAGTGCCACGTGAAAGTTAAGGAGCTCAGACAAGCCTACCAGAAAACCAAAGAAGCAAACAGAAGGTCCGGGGCAGAGCTGCAGACATGCCGCTTCTAAGCTGAGCTGCATGCAATTCTTGGGGGGGCTGCCACCATTACCCCACCTCTGACCGTGGATTCCGAGGCAGGGGTAATCTCAGCCATGCCTGAGGATTCTGCGGACGGGGAAGATGAGGAGGAGGAGGACGAGCTCGCGGAGAGCACACAGCACTCCGTTCTCCCCAACAGCCAGGATCTTTTTCTCAGCCTGACAGAAGTACCCTCCCACCTCCAGTCAATGAGGCCATGGAAGGGACCTCCGGTGAGTGTACCTTTGTAAATATAAAACATGGTTTAAAAGCAAGCATTTTTTAATGATTAATTTGCCCTGAGGACTTGGGATGCATTCGTGGCCAGTACAGCTACTGGAAAAGTCTGTTAACGTGTCTGGGGATGGAGCGGAAATCCTCCAGGGACATCTCCATGAAGCTCTCCTGGAGGTTCTCCCAAAGCCTTTCCAGAAGGTTTCAGGGGAGTGCATCCTTATTCCGTCCTCCATGGTAGGACACTTGACCACGCCATGCTAGTAGCAAGTAATCTGGTATCATTGCATGACAAAGCCTGGCACCGTATGGTCCCGGTGTTTGCTGGCATTCAAGCAACATCCGTTCTTTATCTCGCTGTGTTATCCTCAGGAGAGTGATATCGTTCATGGTAACCTGGTTGAAATACGGGAATTTAATTAAGGGGACAGAGGTGGCCGTTCCTACTGGGCTGTTTGTCTGTGGCTGAAAAGAAATCCTTCCCTGCAGTTAGCTAA